TTCTCTGCTCTTATTTTCTGTTAACATGCACTAACCTACTCCGTACCCCCATGTAGTGGGATGCTAATTGGCTGCCCTAAATAGGGATTTAACATATGTGTATTCCATGCTGGAAGGGTTCGAGACTGAACCTACAGACAGACTTCTCCTAAAGGACATGTCCCCCTTTAGGAAGTACAGACATTTACACTGTGAGAACTGTATTCATTCTCCCTCAAACACTTATAGCTATTTACCATATGCCAGAACATTAAACCCCACCCCCTCCTTTCCTCTTCTGTTGTTACTTGTAATAACACTCCACATACGGTTATTCACATATGTTATTCACTTATATTATTCTATCTGTAAGGCTGGTTTTCATCTCCTCTACCTCTGTATACTACGGAAAAAAATCTCTTTATTGCCACCTACTTTTGATGTATACATTCTTTAAACAAAAAAAAATAATGTATAATATTTTTAAAAAGGCAGCGTGAGCAATGTGATTTGGTGTGAAAGTTGTTAGCTGGATGAAAGAAATAGGTATTCTAAATTTATGATTCGGCTTGTATTAAGAGGAATTAAAGAATGGGCCCATGCAAAAATATATAACCTTGTGGTGGCTTTGAAAGCGACATATGTCTATTTTGAAATTAGATTGAGGAATGCATAGAACAGCTGTCATTAATGTATACAGTCAAGGCCAAAAATATTGGCACCCCTGCATTTCTGTCAGATAATGCACCACTGCTTTTCCACAATTTTTGTTCTCAAATCCTCAGACAATTCTTTGTTGCTCTTTCTCTTTTCCATGTTCCCTGTGGCACACAGAGACAGAAAGGTTGAGTCACTTTTTAACTGGTTGCCGGTGTGATTTCTATATCGTCAGCACCTGTTAATTGATAAAGGTGAGTTTAATTACAAATTACAGGAGCATCACAAACTTGGAATAAAATTATTTCTTACAATTTGGAGAAGGTGCCAATAATTTTGTCTAGTCCATTTCTGGAGTTCTGCGTGGAATGTATCAGATTTGGCTTTTTTTTCTCCACTTTTTTGTTTCATACCAATACAAACAAAATAAATAAACATGAGAATGCCTAAACATTTGTAATTGCAACAATTTTCTGCGAAAAGTGGTGCATTATCTGACAGAAATGCAGGGGTTCCAACATTTTTGGCTATGACTGTAGAAGACTAGAATCCATTTATAATTAGTTTGAAGTATGTGTTGGAACTGATAACATTGACATCTATGATACAGTTTTGATGCAAAGATGTTCCTTAAATTCCTGAACTGAATCATCACGTTGCTGATTGATATGCAAATGAAGACCATCAAAGGATTCCCGGGCTGGACACTGATCAAAGGAGATCGGCAGGACTATCATATCCTGGGGCAAGCCCGGCCCCATGCTGGTATTTACTGCCCACACCTGTGTCAGCAAGGCATATATGCTGGGATGGGGGCAGGGGCATATGATGGAACCTTCTTCCTGTGTGACACTAACCTAGCTCACCAGCAAGACCTTAGGACAAGACAAGTCTTTCTGAACTCTGCAATCAAGAATGTGATTCGCTGAGACCTGCTGGAGAGGCGTGTTCTGAGAACAGAGAAAAACCCATGGCATGTGAGAATGAGTGAGAGAATGGTGTAGCTAGCTGGTGAATCCTGACCCCCTCCAAGTCCCCCTCCAATTCCCTTAATTGTAATTAGAATGTATGTATAAAGAAAGAGTGTAGAAATTGCTAAATCCACATAGAACCTACAAGATGGAATTACTCTAATTCAAGTTGCTGAAAGAACAGACCAGACCTGTTGCACGGATCTCGTGGTGAAGTCAGCTGGATCTTGGACTTCGTAGAAGGGTTAAAAGTGTGGTGAGTTGTTCATTGGATATGCAAAAGTTCTAATTGTTTGTTATCCTTGACTGAATGTGAAGTTGTAATAGTGGATAACGTATTGAATGCTGTACGTTAATGAGCGTTAAAGCAGAGAAAAGTGTGGATTCTGTGTAGAGGAACAATGTGTTTTGTTTGCAATCTTGACTTAAGTTCAGACTGATTGTGCATATGTGTAAAGACAGTGTGGGAACACTAAAGAGTTAGGTTCTTTGTCTTGTTCACTTGTGAGTGTGTATTGGCAGTACAATAACTTTTATACCAATAGTTGTATCTTGTGTTGAGTGTACGTTTGTGAAATGGAACTGGTCTATAGTTATGTTAAGAAATATGCCTCTGCCAAGTATAATTCATGTGCAGATGAACCTCTTAAGAGTCAAGTTAATGCGTTGTTGTCTCAGTGTCAGCAACATAATGACAAGCTGCAGAGTAGACAGCTTACAAAAAAAATTTAAAAACAGAAATTGGCTAACGAAATTGCGGTATTGCTCAGAATAACAGAAATGTCATAGCAAATGGGGGAGCAATGGAGATCAGAAAGGAGTAAACTTGGAGAGCAGATAAAGAAAATTGGAGATAATCTTAGGGGCATTGCAACTGCCTCCAGTGTTTAAATGGATGAATTTAAGGCTACAGTATGCAATTTGTCTGAAAGAAATTGTGAGCTGCAAGAACAATTGGAACAATGCAATGCAAACTTTGATGTGAAGGGTAGGCTTGTTGGTTCATTGCAACTAAAATTATCTCATATGGAGGAATTGGTAATATCTTTAGAGAGGAAACTGGAAGATGCAAACTCCCAGCTACTTAGAAAAGAGCAATGCATGTTATCCCTCAATGGACAGAAAAGAAAGTGTCAGTCAGCCAATATCTGTACTGTCACTGATGTGAATACATCCAATGAGGTGGCATTAGAAAATGCTCCTGGAAATTTAAGGGAAAACACCAGTGTACTCACAATTAATGACAAGCTTACTTTGTGCCAGATTCTGCGTGAGTTTAATACAATGGAGTCACCTGTGTGCCTGCCTAATACATTTGAGGCTATTGTACAGAAATACACTTTGAGTGATAAAGATGCATGCTCTCTTCTAAAGGCATGGCTACCAGGACCTCTAGCAGCCCAGGTATCTACATATGCTAATGATAACCTTGCAGATGCAGAGGGGAGGATGAATGTACTGCAGCGTGTGTTGAATGGTCATGATGATAGAGGGATAAACGAGTTACAAAGAATGCGATTTAGAAGAGGAGATGACCCTATATTTTTCTGTAACCGATATCTTTCACTGTACAGAAAGGTGTATAACTGTCCTGATATGTCTGCTGATGATCCAAGCTTCATATATTCAATGGCCACTATATGTTATGTGAACCATCCTAATAGGATTGCACTCAGAAATGCCAATTCATACCAGAGCTTTATCAATATACTTAGAGACTGGTGTGAAGAATCTAGTGATGGCTATGGATCAGATGCAGATATATCAGTAGTGAGCAGGGGTACAAGAAGGAAGAAATTCATCAGGTGTTACGTCACAGACATTTGCACATTCAGCGATTTTGTAGAAGCCCCGATATTTCTAGCCTGATACAGGATAATGAACGTATATCTGAGATGAGCACCCTCACCCAGGACAATGAGAACATACCACAGCAGCCTGATGTGATGGATACCAGCCTTGGGGAGTCAGGAAAGGCTGAGGGGCAAAATGAGGAGATTACAAGTAACAATGGCCCCCACCCTCAGAATAGCCAACAGCCAGGGGGGACCAGCATACCAATGTTTGCACCCTGGGATAATCTTCCATTGTGGCTGGTATGCAGTTGTTCCCAAATTGCATTACCATTTTTCATTCATAATATGGCAAACTTCATGAGCAATGCCTGCTTAGTTTAGGAAAATCAGAGGATCAGAGACCAGCACCAGAGGATCTGGATCAGAGACCAGCACCAGCATGGAGAGACCCCTAAAAACTACTGAAAAGAAGATGATCAATCAAGAGGCATCATTTAAGGCAAGTCTTTAAAGCAGCATCGGGGGGGGGGGGGGGTAGAGCG